GGGCTGCCCCATCCCCACCGTCCCCACCGCATTCCCAGGCGCAGCAGCAGCTGCAGCGACGCCAGTGCCGGTTCCTCCCCGCAAGTCGCCGGCGCCGAGGCCGCAGCGCCCGCGGCCGCCGCGCCGCTCTCGCCCGTCATCAAGGCCGGCTGGCTGGACAAGAACCCRCCGCAGGGGTGAGCGCAGCGCCTGGTCCCCCGTTGTGCCCCCCGACGTGTCCCACATGTCCCCCCGTGCGGACGTGGCCCCGTCCTACAGGTCCTACATCTACCAGAAGCGCTGGGTGAAGCTGGACGCCGACTACCTGCGGTATTTTGACAGCGAGAAGGTGAGCGGGACGCGGTGGCCCCGTTCCATCCCCAGGAGATGCTCCAGGGCATGTGATGCCAGAACCGGTCGAGTGGGAYGTGGTGGAGCGGTGGTGTCCCCATCATGGCAATGGCCGTGGGGTGACCTTCCTCATTCCTGCCCGTGCCGCCCTAGGACGCCTACTCCAAGCGCTGCATCCCGGTCTCCTGCATCTCCCGCGTGGCCAGCGTCGGCGAGCAGAAGTTCGAGGTGGTCACCCACAACCGCAACTTCGTGTTCCGCGCCGAGAGCGACGGTGAGCGGAGGCGCCCGCCGGGTCCCCAACCTCTCGGTGGCCGCCACCAAGAGCTGCCTCCGAGCCGTGTGCCCACAGCCGAGCGCAACGACTGGATCCGGACGCTGCAGCAGGTCGCGGAGGAGCGGAAGGGCAAGGCCGCGGAGAGGACATCCATGGTCGCGACCGCCGACGGCGCCGTGGACTTGGTGGACAAGTGCGGCTTCCTGGAGTTGCGCGGCTTCAAGAACAAGCTCTTCGTGGCCGTGGCGGGGGACAGGGTCTTCCTCTACAAGAACTCGGAGGTGGGTGTCYGTGGTGCAGGTGGACCCCCTCCAGGTGACGTCTTGGCCACCTCCCGTTGGCTGGGAGATGCTGATGGGGCACATTGGCCATCCCATGGGTTGGGAYGACATGGATGGGATGTTGGGCTAGATAATCTCTGGAGGTCCCTCCCAACCGTGGACACGATTCCGTGGGACACCCCACGGCCCCTCTCGCCCCATCCAGGACTACCGGCTGGGCATCGGCATCACCTACATCGAGATGAACGTGGGCAACGTCAAGGAGGTGGAGCGCCGCGGCTTCGACCTCACGACGCCCTACCGCATCTTCAGGTGAGATGGGTGGCGCTGGGGCCACGTCCCCATCCCCGTCCCCATCCCTGTCCCTGGTGCCGTCCCCATCCCTGTCCCCATCCCCGTCCCTGTCCCCGGTGCCCTCCCAGTCCTCGGTGCCGTCCCCATTCCTGGCATTGTCCCCATCCCCATCCCCGGCGCCATCCTCATCCCCGTCCCCATCCCCGTCCCTGCTGCCGTCCCCATTCCTGGTGCCGTCCCCATTCCCGTCCCCAACCCCGTCCCCAT